CTCTTCCCACTGGTAACCACGAGTTTGTTCTCCGTATCTGTGAGTCTGTCTCCTTTTTGTCACATTCACTAGTTTGTTTTATCTTTTGGATTCCACGTGCAAGTGATACCATGTGGCGTTTTGTCCTTGCCTGTCTGCTTTATTTCATTTAGCGTAATACCCTCTAAATGCAGCCATCTGTATGCCTTTGTCCTCCTTTGAGAAGTTGGTAAAGTCTCCTCTGTTTATGGAATTTTTCAGGCTAGAATACAATAGGGGGCTGCCTTTTCCTACTCCAGGGAATCATTCTGACCCAGGGATCAATCCCACGTTCTTGTGTCTCCTGCATTGGCAGGCGGATTCTTTACCAGCGCGCCACCTGGGAAGGCCCTGAAGCATATTAAGCACTAAATAAATATTTGTTGCGTGGATGGATGGATAGATGGATGGCAGGAAGGAAACATAAACATAAATGAGGCCAAGGAGATAAGAGCAGTTGAAGTTAGTAATGTTTAGCAAACACCTACCATGGAGATTCAGAGAGGAGTAGGAGGAGATTTTATTCATTGTCTACTTGGGAAGAAATAACAAATACTAAAATATCTGTAATATGTTGTAAAAAAAAATGACATGCCATGAGAAGTTCATAAAAAGTGTTATGAAGGTTCAGGAGAAGTAGAGGTCCCTTTCAGCTGAGGCAGTAGAGAAGTTGTCTTTGGAGCTAGACTCTCTGGAGTTGCTTATATTTGCTTCTGAATTATGTGGTTTCCAAAAAAAAAGTACATGAAAGTTGGGGCAGCGGGTGTTGTGGCAGAAGAGGGATGTGAATCTGAGACCATACTGGATGGCTTTGCCTGCTCTGTCATAAATTTATCAGCATTTTGTACGCAGCCGTTTATCAGCCTCCACCGTTTCTTGCAAGTAGAACCTGACGGGCTCTGATGTTATCTGTTCCAAACACCTTTTTCTTGTTTATGACAGTGTGTGTATGTGTGTTGACGTTTGCACCTGCACCCTAGTGATTTGGAGACAGTTCTTGCTACAGAGCCAGGCCCTAAAAGAGGATACATCAACTGAAACACACACTTTAATACCTTTAAAAACTTCTCCATGCTATCCACACACTTGCGTTTATGTGCATGCACCTGCAGCTTGCACACACACAAGTGCACAGAGAGTTTTGTACACAGTGTCCTGGTTTAGATTTTAGGCAACTATAGTTGAAGGTACTTACATTTATTTTCCTCAGCTCTATCCTGTACCTTAATCTTCACTTCCACCTAAGGCTTATTAGGCAACAGTTATATCCCCCTGACCTTCTGGATTCTGTCAGGAGTTCATATAAGAAGATGATCCAGTCTACGGCCATACCACCCTGAATGTGCCTGATCTCATCTGATCATGAAAGCTAAGCAGGGTTAGGCCGGCTTAATACTTGGATGGGAGAAAATGATTCAGTAATTAATCCAATACCTGCTTACTGATAACCACCGACGTGCCAGGCTCAACTGTAAACGCAGAGAATGTAGCATGGGATAAAATGCTACAATGAACCAATACCTGCCCTCATGGAGTTTACATTCTAGGAGGCGGGTGGAATCAGCAGCCATATGGTGTTTTAGGTGGTGTGGGTGCTGGTGAGTAGCAGAGTAAGGGGGACAGAGTGTGACAATCAGACAGCCAGGAGAACAGTCTGTCCATAATGTGACATTTCAATAGTGACTTGATGGAAGGCATAAGCAATGGGAATATCTGGGGAAGGAGTATTCCAGGCAGAGGGAACAGCCAGAGCGGAGACCCCGAGGCAGGAGTGTGCGGCCAGCATGGTTGAAGCAGAGTGGGCGCGGCAGAGAGGGGCAGGGCTGAGGTGAGAGAGTGGTGAGGGGTGTCGCCCGGGGCTCATTGGCCACTGTGAGGACTTCGGCTTTTCCTCTGAGTGAAGTGGAAAGCCAGAGGACACTTGGTGCAGAGAAGCGCTGTGCTGATTGACAGCAGCTTTCATGTCTGGAACAGACTGCCGGATGAAAGCATAGAAGCAGGAAGGTGGCTGAACGGTGGACTCAACCAAGTGCGTAACCGTGGAGGTGTGGAGAAGTGACTGGGTTGTAAATGTATGTTTACAACTGTTTGGACCAACCGGATTTGCTGTCGGGTTTAGGAGTCGATGACTGACATCAAGATTTTTGGCCTGAGCAGCTGGAAGGTTGGAGCTGCTCGTAACTGAGATGGGAAATGTTGAAGGAAGAACAGACTTGGAGGATAGGAAGAGCTCAGTTTAAAGGAAGTTTGTGATGCCAGGGCTTCCCTGGTGGCACAGTGGTTAAGAATCTGCCTTGCAAAGCAAGGGGCGTGGGTTCAAGCCCTGGTTGGGTAGCTAAGATCCTGCATGCCATGGAGCAGCCAAGCCTGAGTGGTGCTACCACGGAGCCCTCGCGCACAGCTAGAGAGTCCATGTCTCGATGAGGGATGTCATGCGACGCAACAAACTTCCTCATGCCCCAGCTAAGACCCGATGCAGCCAGATAAATAAAATGTATTTATAAAGAAAGACTTGATATACTATCAAGGGTGAAACAGACCACCAGCCCAGGTTGGATGCATGAGACAAGTGCTCAGGGCTGGTGCACTGGGAAGACCCAGAGGGATGGGATGGGGAGGGAGGTGGGAGGGGGGATCGGGATGGGGAACACATGTAAATCCATGGCTGATTCATGTCAATGTATGGCAAAAACCACTACAATACTGTAAAGTAATTAGCCTCCAACTAATAAAAAAAAAAAAATAAAGACTTGAGATGCCTATTAGTGAGAAGCAGGTATGAGACTCTAGAGTTCTATAGATGGGTATGGGCTGGAGCTGTAAATTTGCCAATTACAGCAGTTAGATGACTTTTAAACCTGTGAAATGAAATAGAATAACCTAAGAAGTGGATATAGAAAGAGAAGAGTCTAAGAACTGAGGATGGGGGCATTCCAGCCTTTAGAAGTCAGGGAGACGAGGAGGAACCAGAACTGGAAACTGAAAAAGAGAAGCTGGGAGATAGGAAAATTGAGAGTGAGCACTGAAGCCAAATGAGGAAAATGCTTCAAAGAGAATGGAATAGTAAACAGTTATCAGATATTGCTGAGAGATCAAGTCAAATCCAAAACTTGCTTTAGAATATTGAACTCTTTAAGACCTCTGTTGAGGGAGGTGGAGGTCGGGGAAAGCCTACTTGTATTGCTTCCAAGAAAAGAATGGGAGGAGAGGAAACAACGATTAACACTATAGAAATCTCTGAGGTTTTTCGGTAAAGGGGAGCAGAAAACTGGGCTATAGTTGGAAGGGAATGTGGGATCAAGTCAAACTTTGCATTTTTTATTTTTCTGAGATGGAACAAGTTGGTGTCCTGGTGGGAATGATCCTAGGAGGGAGGGAAGATGCAGTGATTGCCAAGATACAGTGATGTCCCCATGTAGTGAGAGGGGGTGATGCTCTAGTGGAAGAAAGTGGGCCTTAGACTGGGTGAACTATCCATGCTGCATAGTAATAAACTACTTTGCTATAATGCAGGCAGATTGGTAAATACAGTAATGGAACATGTGTCGATTCTCTTCGGCTTGCTTGTATATTCTCATACCAAAAAGTGGAGGTGCTACAGGTTTAAAGAGGGCAAGGTTCAGATGATTGCCAAAGAGCAAGAGAAAATCACGGACCAGATAAATGTAGTCAGACTGTTGCAGCATGAGGGCTCACTTGAGCTCAAGGTGAGAGCACCCAATGTGGTTATGTGATTTTCTCCAGCTCCATACAGCTGAGTGGGAACAGGCAGAGTAGGCTAAGCATTAGACTTAGTCAAAGGTTATGGTTTCTCAGATAAAGAGAGGAAGAAAAGCAAGAGAATGATTATAATAATGGATCACAGGAACAAGGCAGGTAGAAGGAAGCGAGGATGGAGATAGAAGGTGAGGGTGCAAGGTGCCAGGATTAATGGAGTGGAGTCCCAGTGAGGTCTAAAGAACCGTGATGACAGTCAGATCCTTGGCATTAGTGGCACTTTAGGGTTGCATCATAGTGCTTTATGTGCAGTATAAACCCTATAAGGTAGGTAGGACACATGGTGATGGTATTCTATTCTATAGATAAAGCAGTGATTCTCATTCTATAGATAAAGCAAGCTCCAAAGAGGTAAATAACTTTATCTAAAAATCACACAGCTAGTCCGTGGTGAAGCATAGACTCCACCTGAGGCTGTTTTATTTGTGATATCTTTTTACCACTTTGTGTGATGTCTGCTCACAGATTCCTCAGTCTCACTGAAGAGATGGAATGTAGAAGACAACATAAGGAAATGCGTAACTGAGTGTTAAATTCCATAATATGGCATGACATAAGGAGTTTATTCATTCAGTAATATATGTATGGGGCTATATTATAAATACTAGGGATATAGTATTATCCACTATATATAGTGAATGAGATGGGGGAAATCCTGAAGTTATGTGCTTCAGGGAAGTTTTAGAAGGGTTTCTATGTGATTCTTCCAAGGCATCATGATTGGGTAAAAGCACCAGGTACTGAAAGCTTGGAAACTTTTTTCTCTGCTACTTGCTGTATGTGACATTGTTGCTTCCACTCACTCTGTCTTAGTGGGGGACCCCATCCATAAACTGAGATGTTATGGTTTTGCAAGTTCCACCCTGACTAAAAGTCCTGTGAGTTTGAGACTGTGTTCTAGCTTGATGGGATAATTGTGTAAAGTGTTTTAGTCCTCATCTGACCTCTTGATCTGAAAAGTGGAAATGCCATATCTCATTTCATAGTGATAAGATCCTGTTTCAGTAATGAAATGCTGCATTAACGTGTCTTGTAAAGTCATCCGCTGTTTTTGAAACTCTGGGGAAACACAAAAAGGAGATAGAGGCCACGCTCGGCCGGCAGGTGCAACAGTCCCCACCCTTAGCCTGGTGATATCTGAGGACCTGTGAGAAGCTTTGAAGTAACTCATGACTTTCCCCCTCCTCTCACTCCTTCCTGTTCAGGCCTGGAAGAAACGCTGGTTTATCCTGCGGAGCGGCCGGATGAGTGGTGACCCCGACGTCCTGGAATACTACAAGAATGATCACTCCAAGAAGCCCCTGCGCATCATCAACCTGAACTTCTGCGAGCAGGTGGATGCAGGCCTGACCTTCAACAAGAAGGAGCTGCAGGACAGTTTCGTGTTCGACATCAAGACCAGCGAGCGCACCTTCTACCTGGTGGCCGAGACGGAGGAGGACATGAATAAGTGGGTCCAGAGCATCTGCCAGATCTGCGGCTTCAACCAGGCAGAAGAGAGCACAGGTACGAGACCCTTCTCGGGAGGGACCAGGTGCCTCCTGGCCGTGGCTGGGCCCCTGCGGCCAAAGCGACGGCCTTCAGACTCCTTGAACGAGCAGAGCGGGCTTCAGTGGAAGGCTGTCCTCTGAGGCGCAGAAGTAGGTGGAGGGTGAGAGTGTGAAGGGGCTGGCGCAGAGCAGAGGGCCTCCTAGCCCCGAGTCTGCTCACGTGGAAAGCAGGCGTGTCGGGGTTATGAGGAAGCTCAAGGTACTCGGTGGTATTTCTTCAGGCACCTCCACGCCACGCCGTTTCTCAGGCCTGCCCCTCTCCCCTCGGCTGCCTGGCTCTCTGTGCCTGGTTAACTTGTCAACCGCACATGGGGTGGCTTGCACCTTGCTCTCTTCTTCGATCCATCCTCTGTCCGTTCCTGTCTTCTGCTTCAGAACAACCTGCACAGTTATGCTCGCCGCTTTTCTGGCAAGGGGAGGTGTGGGATTCTTTGTGATTACTGTTGATGTACAATCCACTGTTCTTTATGTTTCCCTGGGAACAGACACACGAGAAGGGGGGAGTTCTGACTTGTGTTTGGATTTTGTTAGCCTTCACAGAAAGAGTAGCTCAACATTTTTAAGTGAGGCTTCAGTTGCAGAATTGCTCTTTGACATTTGTTTGGTCTCATCCCCAACTCTAGAATGATTGAGGAGTAGGGTTTTTTTTGTGTGTGTGGCAGATGGAAAGCCTAAGTTAGTAGTTTCCTAAACCTGGTTACATATCAGAATTAAAGAGGAGCATTTTTTAATGTTGATGCTGAGGATCCATATCAAATCAGTTAGCTAAGAATGTCAGGGGTGGGACCTAGGCATCAGTCTTTTAAAGGCTTCACACCGAGTGGCAAGGGTCTGGGACTCAGCATCCATATTCTGTAAAAAAAAAATTGAAAGCCACATACAATCTCTTGATTCCTATACCTGTTTTCTAAACTTTTTAGAACCCTTTAAAAACATGAAAACTGTTTCTAGCTCATCAACATCAGCCCAACCTGGGAACCTATTGGAAATGAAGATTCTTAAGCCCCACCCAGACTTAGTAAATCAGAAACTCTGGAGGTGTTTTAACCAGCCCACCAGGTGATCTGATGCATGGTTAAGTTTGAGAACCACTGATTTAGACTCAATATCAGAGTGGGGTTTATGGACGAACAGCATCAACCTCTCCTGGGAACTTGTTAGGAAGACAGAGGACTTCTTCTCAGACTTACAGGATCAGAATCTGCATATTTTTTTCAGTTTCTTATTCTGAAATAATGTTGGACTTAACAGAAGAAATTGTACAGCAAGTTCCCATGTATCTTTCATCCAGCTTTCCCTAACGTTAACACCTTTCTTAACCAGAGTATAGTTGTCAAAATGTTGATTGGTACAATACAGTTAGTTGCAGTGTGTTGGAATTTCACTTGTTTTTCACCAGTGTCTTTATTCTGTTCAGGATTCGGTCCAGGATAGCATATTAGATTTGGTGGTTCTGTCTCTTGGGCCTCCAATCTGGGATGCCAGTTTCTCAGACTCTCTTGTTTTCTTTGACTTTGACACTTTTAAGGCATACTGGCTAGATATTTTGTAGAATCTCCCTCAGTTTGAATTTGTATGATGTTTTTTCATGGTTTAATAATTGAGGTTTGGGGGAGACTACCACAGAGGTAATGTGCCTTTCTCTGCATGTTGTGTTAGGAGACACATGGTATCTATATGCCATATTACTAGTCATGTTACCTTGATCACTTGGTTAAGATGGTATCTGACACCTTCTTCCACTGTAAAGTTGCTATCTATGCTTTCATAATTAATAAATATTTTGGAGGAAGTACTTTAATGATGAGCAAATACCCCATTTCTGCTTAAAATATTGCCCACTAATTTTAGCATTCATCTGTGGATCACATTTGCAACTGGTATTACCGTGGTATCCTAATGAAATGTTCTATCTCCCTCAGAATTGTATTAAGATACCTATGTGATTTGTAGGCACATTAAAATTTGAAGAGCTCTGGTCTGGATTATTTGTTCACAAACCTGGTGGGTCATCAGAATCACCATAGAAGCTTTCATCTTTTAATTCATGGGTACTGATTCAGTAGGTCTGACTTACAGCTGCAAAATAGTTTTAAGAAACCGCTCCTACAGAATGGGAGGAATTATTTCCAAATCATATCTGATAAGGGTCTAGTATCTAGAATATAAAAAGAACTATTACATCTCAGTAACAAGAAAAATAACCTCATTTAAAAATGGGTAAAGGATCTGAATAGACATTATTCCAGAGAAGATATACAAATAACCAGTAAGCCCATGAGAAAATGCAAAGATGTTGGACATCCTTACTTATTGGGGAGATGTGAAACAAAACCACAATGAGATAACACTTCACACCCACTAGGATGCCTGTAATCAAAATATGGACAGTGACCAGTGTTGCCAAGGATGTGAATAAACATACTTTGCTCATGCATCCCACCTCATATGTTGCTGGTGGAATGTAAAATGATACAAAGGAACCTGTTTACAAAACGGAAATTGATTCACAGATACAGAAAACAAATTTACGGTTACCATGGGGGAAAGGAGGGTGATAAATTGGGAGATTAAGATTGACACCTACCCACTATTGTATATAAAAGATAATAAGAACCTACTATATAGCACAGGGAACTCATTCAGGACTCTGCAGTGACCTGTATGGGTTTGGAGTCTAGAGGAGAGTGGATTTGTGTATTATGGATAGTGATTCACTGTACAGCAGAAATTAACACACATTGTAAACCAAATATACTCCAATTTAAAAAAGTATGTGTGTGTGTGTATATATATGTATAATGTGATATATATATACACATATATATGGTCACATTTTCATTATCCATTCATTCCTCAGTGGACCTTTAGGTTCTTTTCATGTCACTCCTACTGTAAATAATGCTGAAATGAACATGAGGGGGCAGATAACTCTTCCAGACAGTAATTTCAGTTCCTTCAGTGATATATCCAGATGTGGAATTACTGGGTTGTATGGTTCTACTTTTAATTTTTTGAGTAAAACCTCCATACTGCTTTGCATAGTGGCTGTACCAATTTATATTCCCACCTCCAAGTCCACAAGGGTTCCCTTTTCCCCATATCTCTGGTCACACTTACCACAATCTTTTTGATACTAGCCATTTAACAGGTGTGAGGTGGTATCTTATTGTGGTTTTGACTTTATTTGCATTTCTGTACCTGTTGACTATTCAGATATCTTCTTCAGAAAAAGGTCTATTCAGGTCCTCTCCCCATTTTTAAATCAGATTATTTGAGATTTTGCTATCAAGTGATATGAGTTCCTTGTGTATTTGGGGTATTAACACCTTATCAGATACCAGGTTTGCAAGTATTTCTCTCCCATTCCTGAGGCTGCTTTTTCATTTTATTGATTGTTTCTTTCGCTGTGCAGAAGCTTTGTAGTTTAATGTAGTCCCTCTTGTTTATTTTTGCCTTTTTTACTTGTGCTTTTGGTGTCACATCCAAAAAAAAAAAAAAAAATCATTGCCAAGACCAATGTCAAAACTTTTCCTCCGTGTTTTCTATTAGGATGTTTATAGTTTCAGGTCTTACATTTAAGTCTAATGCATTTCAAGTTAATTTTTGTGCATAGTGTGAGATTGGGTTTTAATTTTATTTTTTTTGCATGTAAATATCTGGTTTTCCCAATACCATTTATTGAAGAGACTTTTCTCCTTTGAGTATTCTTGGCTCCTTTATGAAATGTTGACCATATACTGGGGCTTTTTGTTCTGTTCCACTTGTCTGTGTGTCTGTTTTTTTATTAATATGCCAGTACCATGCTGTTTTGATTACTATAGCTTTATAACATACTTTGACATCCAGAAGTGTAACCCCTCCAATTTTGTTGTTTCTCCACATTGCTTTGGCTATCTGGGATGATTTGTGGTTCCATATGAATTTTAGGATTGTTTTTTCTATTTTTGTAAAAAATGCTATTGGAATCTTGATGAGGATTGCACTGAATCTGTAAATGGTTTTGGGTGGTATAGACATTTTAACAATGCAGATGCTTAAAATCCATGAGCACAAGTTATCTTTACATTTATTTGTGTTGAAGTTCTTAATTTTTGAGTGAGGGGCCTTGACATTTCATTTTGCACTGGGCTGTGCAAATTATGTAGCTGATTGTGCCTGGACTAGATGTTCTTCTCTAGGAATTATGTGATCTTCCTTGAGTAAGGATTATGAAGCCCCATTTGACTCTTAAATTCTTTGGTATAATTTTTGCTTCCTGGGTGAAATTTTTGGTTATTCCTGACCAAATCTTTGTTATTATAGCTTTTATGGATTTTGTTTTTCATTTTATTTTTTATGGAGGAATAAAATGCTTATGCAAAAAAAAAAAAGAAGAAAATGAGGAAGAGGTTTTTAAAAAGCAGGAGAAAAAAGCCAGAGACCCTCTAGTCTCAAAGCTTTCATAAATGTGAGAAGTAAGTCCAAGAAATACATCAGATTTTAGGAAATATGTATAATGGGGTTGGGGAGGAACCAGAAAGCAAGTTACTTTAAACTGAACTATTCTCTTGTGGGATTAGAAGTGTCCCTACCAAAAAAAAAATTATCCTTAAAATGTAGCAAAAGTTATTGCTGGTGTAAATATCTTAATTTTAAATCACATATTTAAAAAAACAGTTATTGTCTGAATCCCTACTTTTACTTTATAGAATTTAAGTATGATTCAAATTCAAATGTGTATAACTGCATCATCTGGGCATACTTTCTTTTGGTAGGAATATTCATTTGTTCATTCATACATTGTTCACTCACTCAGCAGATCTTTATGGAAGACTTACTCTGTGACAGTCCCTGTCATAACCACTGAGGCTATAGACTATAAAGATGAACATCAGAGTTCCAGCACTCAGACATCATAGTCTAGTGGAGGAAACAGACATAACCAGACAGTCCCAGGGAAGTTCTATAACAGAA